TCTTTTAAATAGGTCCCAAAACTGGTAATCATCTGGCTAACTATCGCATTGCTTTTTGGCTTGCAAAAAGACAGAAACTCAACAAGGCAAGAATAGAAAACCTTAGAATATCTGTGACAATGTTAAAACTTAAGAAATTAAAGACTAATATGATTCTCAATTCTGAAACAAATTTCAAAAGAAAAAAATTTAGTCTTTTATGAAGCTTTCATAACATGTAGCAGAAATGGCAGAGCTATGGCCAAAGACAAAATAATTCTTAAAAAAAATACATCACATTCAAAACTTTAGAAAGACAAATTGTGTCAAACAAACATAAAAAATTGCTTTTATATGAGGCAATTATGAACATCATATACACTACTTAAGAGGCTCTAATTCTATAGTAAACATAAATAATAAAACATAAACAACATTATAAATGTATGTAACTCCAGGCCAAACTATCTTCAGAAGATTTCAAAACAACCTATACCATGAAATAGCAGTAATAACATATTTGCAAAATCAATATCAAATATTCTCATCCCATAAATATGCTCCCAGAATCTCTGTTAAATTTTTTGAACTCAAGACAACACTGAGAGGCAATATTTGCTCCAGAGCTTGCTGCCAGGTTGGCTGAACTTTTGCCAAGCCTTCATGTAAATTCAACTTCTCCCTCTGACCAATCCTGTTCTCCTCCTTCCTTTCACAAGTGCTGATCTCTAAAGATATTTTATACCCCAAATTCTGTCTCAGCATCTGCTTCCAAAAATCCTAATCCACAACAATGCCCTTTTCTAACGGTTTTCTGAATTCAGGGAAAAAAAAAAAATTCTGATGTAAAGAGACCAGATGTATCCAAAATATATAACAAACTCTTGCCACTCTTGCAACTCATTTGCCTACTTTTTAATTAAAAAGAAAAACAATTAAGTAGGTAAATGATATAAGCACACATTTCTTCAAATATACAAATGGCCAAAAAGCACATGGAAAGATGCTCAATATGATTAGTCATTATAAAAATGCAAATCAAAACCATGTGAGCTACCTAATACACAATAACTAGCATGGCTATAATCAAAAAAATATATAAATCAAGGTTTGTGACAATGTGAAGAAACTGGATACCTGATATATTGCTGGTGTGACAACAATTGCTACTGTGATGCAGCCACTTTAGAAAACAGTTGAGCAGTTCCTCAAATTATCATACACAGAGTTCCCATATGACCCAGCAATTCTACTTCTTGGTCTATACCCAAGATAAATGAAAATACATGTTCTGACCAAAAGTTATGCACAAATGTTCACAGAAGCATTATTCATAATTGCCAACGAGTTGAAACAACCTGGCTGTCAACTGATGAATGGATAAACAAAATGTGGTATACCTATATAATAGGATATTATTCTTTAATAGAAAGGAAATACTGATGCACGCTATGACATAAATGAAAATATTATGTGCTAATTACAATTACAAAATGAGGTCAGTGACATGAAACCAATTACCAAAAAAAACCCCACATATTGTACAATTCCATTCATATGAAATGTCCAGAACAGGTTAATTCATAGAAATAGAAAGTAGATTAATAGTTTTCAGGGGTTAGAGGAAGAGAAAAATAGGGTGTGACTGTTAATAGGTATGTGGTTTCTTTTTGAGGTGATTATTCCAATAGTTCAAAGAGATACACTTGCACTGGGGTAGTATCTGTCACTGAGCATTAAATGGGTCTCTCTCTAACTCTTTCTACAGCTCTAATGCCAAAAGTCAAAGCAATCTCAAAATGGAAATCTTAACCGTCTCACTAACCACTCACCCTTCCCTTTACCTTCTATAAGATAGAAGCAAGAAGTAGATTTCAGGCAGACTTATTTAAAGAACTTCTCTCTTTTAATATCCCAATCATCCCTCTCTCCACGGCCAGGCTAGCAATTGTCTAGGCATACTCTAGCTAGATAGATATTAAGAACAAACATATTATTTTCTAGGTATAAAAGATGAGCATTAAATAAGTTTTTGTAAATCACAGTGCTCTAGTCTAGCTTGTTCCAGTTCTCAGCACTGGCAGTTCTGTCAATGGTAATCTGCCTCCCTTGCCCTTGCATACATATTCCAGTGAAAACCTGCTCACAAGCACTAATTCACTTTGGTCATGATTCAGTAAATCCCCAAACACATACCATCTAAAAGCACCCCAAACCCACCCAATTTCTAACAAAGATTAAAATTTGGTATAACTTTACTGTTATTATTTTGATCATTATCATAACTGATCCCAGACATTGTAGCAAATTACTTCAAAGTTAGAAATGTACCATTTGCTATAGAAAAGAAAAATGAAGCCAAACTTGAGTATATAATCAAGCAGTTGATTAAGCCTAGTAAGCCACATGAATAACACCAACAATAAAGTGTAATGGCACATTTCAGTTTTGTGCAGATCATAATTGTACTGCAAACAAGGCATTTAAGTACCACTCAAATCCAGTATCTACTGACAATGCACTCCTTATTATTTATTCAAGGGGAAAATTTCAGTGAAGTCTGATTTTACCTAAATGTGTTAACAAGTAGGAATGTAATTTAAGTGCCTTCAGAATAGATTATTTTTTGCCTTCTAGAATTTCCCAACTCTTTATGGAGTGATAATATTTTATAGCATTTCATGTTTGTATATTTAAATAATGTTCACATGCTGAGACCAACAGGGAGATTAACTCAGAGAAATTTTTAGAGGATCCATATTGCTGTGATACTACAAATATCTGATCTTAAAAAAAGGTAATTTGAAATCTGAAAGCTCAAGTCACATTTTTAGGCTACCATGTAAGTTACAGTGGTTATTTACTTTATTCAAAAAACTAAATACATAATACACACCTAGCCTAAATTAACAAAGGACTTGAGCAGGAAAATTCTCCTATTCCAAAACCAATCAAAGAGTTCTGAATCCTTCTGTCTTCTACAAAATATTTTTTTTTCCCGCACAAAAGACAACCATCACGTCGCCATACTGTTACAGGAAATACACTGTGTGGCACTGAAGTTGCCAACACAAGGACACTTTGCTGAATGTTAGCCATTTATGTTAGTAGACCTATGTATGCTTAAACAAAGTATGCCAAATGGCTCTCACTACTATTTTCTACATAAGCACAAAATGATGAAGTCCCTTCCAATGATCATGAGAGTCAGGAATTTTACAAGTAGACTTCTCCTTAACATTACAGCCAAGTCCCCCAAGGAATCCTGCTGCATAGTAAACCCTAGGAAGCACAATACAAAACATTAAAATATCTATAAATTCCACTCACCAATATAAAACAAGCCATAATAACTTCAATATCTGCAGAAAAAGCATTTGATAAAATTCAAAACCTATTTTTGGAAAAAAGTCACAGAAAACTAGGAATAAAAAGGAGATGTCTGTAAGCTGACAAAAGGTTTAAAAAAAACAAGCAAATAAAAATAACCACTTAAAACAAAATTACTTTTTTTAAATATATATTTTATTGCTTTTTAGGTTTTGGGGTACATGTGAAGAACATGTAAGATCACTGCATAGGTACACACGTGTCAGTGTGATTTGCTGCCTTCCTCCCCATCACCTATATCTGGCATTTCTCCCCATGTTATCCCCCCTCCAAGTCCCCTCCTCCCCGCTGTCCCTCCCTTAGCTCCCCGCCAACAGACCCCAGTGTGTGATGCTCCCCTCCCTGTGTCCATGTGTTCTCTTTGTTCAACACCCACCTATGAGTGAGAACATGTAGTGTCTGATTTTCTTTTCTTGTGTCAGTCTGCTGAGAATGACGGTTTCCAGGTTCATCCACGTCCCTACAAAGGACACGAACTCATCATTTTTGATGGCTGCATAGTATTCCATGGTGTATATGTGCCACATTTTCCCTGTCCAGTCTATCATCAATGGACATTTGGGTTGGTTCTGTCTTTGCTATTATAAACAGTGCCATAATGAACATACATGTGCATATGTCTTTATAATAGAATGATTTACAATCCTTTGTATATATACCCAGTTATGGGATTGCTGGGTCAAATGGAATTTCTATTTCTAGGTCCTTGAGAAATCACCACACTGTCTTCCACAGTGGTTGAACTAACTTACACTCCCACCAACAGTGTAAAAGTGTTCCTATTTCTCCACATCTTCTCCAGCATTTGTTGTCTCCAGATTTTTTAATGATCGCCATTCTAACCGGCGTGAGATGGTATCTCGATGTAGTTTTGATTTGCATTTCTCTGATGACCAGTGATGATGAGCATTTTTTCATATGTTTGTTGGCCTCATATATGTCTTCTTTTGTAAAGTGTCTGTTCATATCCTTCGCTCACTTTTAAATGGGCTTTTTTTCTTGTAAATCTGTTTCAGTTCTTTGTAGATTCTGGATATTAGCCCTTTGTCAGATGGGTAGATTGCAAAAATTTTTTCCCATCCTGTTGGTTGCCGATTCACTCTAATTACTGTTTCTTTTGCTGTGCAGAAGCTGTGGAGTTGATTATGTCCCATTTGTCTATTTTGGCTTTTGTTGCCAATGCTTTTGCTGTTTTAGTCATGAAGTCTTTGCCTATGCCTATGTCCTGAATGGTTTTGCCTAGCTTTTCTTCTAGGGTTTCTATGGTGTTAGGTTTTATGTTTAAGTCTTTAATCCATCTGGAGTTAATTTTAGTGTAAGATGTCAGGAAGGGGTCCTGTTTCTGCTTTCTGCACATGGCTTGCCAGTTTTCCCAACACCATTTATTAAACAGGGAATCCTTTCCCCATTGCTTGTTTTTGTCAGGTTTGTCAAAGATCAGATGTTTGTAGATGTGTGGTGTTGCCTCCAAGGCCTCTGTTCTGTTCCACTGGTCTATATCTCTGTTTTGGTGCCAGTACCATGCTGTTTTGATTACTATAGCCTTGTAGTATAGTTTGAAGTCAGGCAGTGAGATGCCTCCAGCTTAGTTCTTTTTGCTTAGAATTGACTTGGCTATGTGGGCTCTCTTTAAAAATATGGAACGCTTCACAAATTTGCATGTCATCCTTGCGCAGGGGCCATGCTAATCTCTGTATCAGTCCAATTTTAGTATACGTGCTGCTGAAGCAAGCACAACAAAATTGCTCTTAATGATAAAATATTTGTAAAAGTCTCTTCAAAATCAAGAAGCATAAAAGAATGCCCATCATTATCACTTTACTATTACCACTTCTAGTCACAGTTTGTTGGACATTCTATACAATGCAGTAGAACATGAAAAATAAATAAAAACATAGTAACAATTTTCAAAAGGAAATCAAAGTTATCATTATTTTCAAATGATATATCTACAACAAAAAGAATCAAGAAACAAAGTCCTCTAAAATCAAAAAAACAGAGAATCTCTGTATCATTAGGAATAAAAAGAGAATTCAACAAGATGGCTTGCCGTTAAGATTTACAGACAAAAAATTAAGTATATTTACAGATACTAGCAACAATCAGTTATAAAGCAGTTTTTTAATACATCATTAATAATGGCAAAAATTGGCCAGGTGTGGTTGCTCACACCTATAATCCCAGCACTTTGGGAGGCCAAGGTGGGTGGATCACCTGAGGTCAGGAGTTCAAGACCAGCCTAGTCAATATGGTGAAACCTCGTCTCTACTAAATATATAAGAATTAGCCAGGCATGGTGGTAGGCACCTGTAATCCTAGCTACTTGGGAGGCTGAGGCAGGAGAATCACTTGAACACAGGAGGCAGAGGTTGCAGTAAGCTGAGACCACACGATTGGGCTCCAGCCTGGGCAACAAGAGCAAAACTTCATCTCAAAAAAAAAAAAGCAAAAATTAAAAACGTAAATGATTAAATCTAACAAAAGATGCTATACCCATATTCAGAAAACTTTGCAATTCTACTCAAACCCCAAAATGTATTTCTAGAACTTAAACAAGTTCATAAAGTTGCAGTCAAGATATTGGCAAGTTCTACAATCATCTAAAGTTAAACTGGGGACACGCCTAAAGAACACCACAGGAAGACTTGCATTGCCAGGATTCAAAGTAATTAAAAAAGCATGCCATTAATACCAGAATAAACAAATTGATAAATAGAACAGAATGGAACTCCAAAACAAAGCTATATAACAGATCCATATGATACCATCATATCACTGGGGAAAACAGAGATTTTTCTGACAACTGGAAAAACTGGTTAACTGCACAACTTAAAAAAAGACAAAGAAATAAATTAGATACCTATCTCACTCCATACATGATCAATTTCAAATGACTTAAGGGTATAAACGTGAAATTCAAACTTTAAACTAAACCTCTTAGGGAAAAATACGGGAGACTACTACTTTGATGTTGAGGCAAGGAATACAACCACAATAAGATATTCTACAGTCATTAGGCTAGAAAAAATTAATTAGTCTGACAATAACAAAAAAAAAAGAATGTAGAATAATAGAGATACTTATTCACATTTTTGGTTAAAAGATAAATTCGTAAAACTACTTTGGAAAAAATTAGCATGAGATATCCAAGTTAAATATTACCATAATCTCCAATCCATCAATCTCACACCTTGACCTTCTACATATACATGTGGAGGCAGACATAAACATGTGCATAAAATGTATCCATCATCAAAACAGCCAATTTATTCATTATCTGTAACTACGTAACAAATTACCTCAAAACACAGTGTCACAAAACAACAATAAATATTTGTAATATCTCAGTTTCTGTAGATCAGAAATTGGGAGCAGCTCAGCTGGGAAGTTCTCAATCAAGTTTATGAAGTTGCAGTCAAGATACTGGCAAGTTCTACAATCATCTGAAGGTTTAACTGGAGACAGAACATTCACTTCCAATATGGCTCACTCACATAGATAAATGATTGGTATTAATTGTTGTTACAGTCCTCCCAAACTCAAATAGATCTGTGCATAAGCCCATGCGGGAGGGCTTTCCCAAGAAAGACAGATTCAGGAAAATTGAAGAAGTCTCACCATCATTTCCTGTACATCCTACTGGTAGAAGAGAGCCCTGCTCAATGTAGCAGAAGTTTACACAAAGGCATGAATATCAAGAAGCAAAGATCACTGGGGACCATCTTAGAATTTGGCTACAACAAATGGAAAAAAACTGTTCTCCAATTATAGGAGAGCAAATATATTGTAGTACATTAACAGGGCAAAGATGAGTATTATACAGTAGTAAAGATGAATGAAGCACAACTACACTCAAAAACATGGATGAATTTTCCAAAAATACTTGTGAGGAAATCAAATATTAGAACACTACATACAATATCATTTATACTGAGCTAAACTAAAACAAATTATTAGTGTCACAAATTGAGATAAAACCAAAAGAAAAATCAAGAGAAAAAAATAAATGCAAAATTCAATAGTTATTACCACTGGGAAAGAACGGAGGGCATGAGGGGGAGAAGCACATAAGTCAATGCAAGTAATTGATAGAGTTTTTAGTCTTGAATTTGGTGGTAAATTTACAGGTGTTAATTGTATTATCATACTCTATAACTTGCATAGGCATTAAAATACGGAGGCCTGTTTTATATCAGTATATCACATACATATAATCAACAGTAACCCTGGTTGCACATAATCTTTTTCAGCAACAATATATTCTTTAAATAAGTGATAAAAATATTAACAAAAAAAATGCAGTCACACAATGCATAACATTTTGGCTAATGACAGAATTCATATTAAGACAGTGGTCCCATAGGATTATAATGAAGCTGAAAAATTCCTACCACCTAGTGACATCATAGCTGGCATAACATCATGATACAACACATTACTCGTGTTTGTGGTGGTGATGCTGGTGTAAACAAACATACTGCACTGCCAGTCACATCAAAGTTTAACATATACAAATATGCATAGTACATAAATACGTGAAAATAATAAACTAATAGGTGACTATGTGTTTTGTTTTTGTTTTTTTGAGACAGAGTTTCATTCCTGTTGCCCAGGCTGGAGTACAATGGCATGATCTCGGCTCACTGCAACCTCTGCCTCCTGGATTCAAGCGTTTCTCCTGCCTCAGACTCCCAAGTAGCTGGGATTATAGGCACCTGCCACCATGCCTGGCTAATTTTTTTTATTTTTAGTAGAGATGAGGTTTCACCATGGTGGCCAAGCTGGTCTGGAACTCCTGAGCTCAGGTGACCCACCTGCCTTGGCCTTCCAAAGTGTTGGGATTACAGATGTGAGCCACCGCCCCCTGCTGGTGACTATATTTTTACTACACAATACTTTTTATGTAAAGTGTACTATTTCTGCTTCTTTAAAAAATAAAAAAAGTTAACTGTAAAATAGTTTCAGGCAGGTCCTTCAGGAGGTATTCCAGAAGGCACTGCTACCATAGGAAATAGCAGCTCCATGTGCGTTTTTGCCCTAAAGATCTTCCAGCAGGACAAGATGTAGAGGTGGAAGGTAGTGTTATTGATGACCCTGACCCTGGGTAGGTCTAGGCTAATGTGTATGCTGTGTCTTCATTTTTGGCCAAAATATTTTAAAAATAAAAACTCTGAAAATAGAAAAAAGCTTATAGAATAAGTATATAAAGAAAGAAAATACTTTTGTACAGCTGAATAATATGATTGTGTTTTCAGCTAAGTATTATTACAAAAAAGTTAAAAAGTTCATGTGGAATGGTGATGCACTTTTTAATCCCACCTGCTTGGGAGGCTGAGGCAGGAGGAGGGCTTGACCCCAAGAGTTTGAAGCTGCAGTGAGCTACAATCACCCACTGCACTCCGCCTGGGTGGCAGAATAAAATCCCATCTCTTAAAAAAAATTAATTTTAAAATTTATAAAGTAAAAAAGTTACAGTAGGCTAGTTAATTATTGAATAAAACTAGTTTTATTCAAAAAATTATTAATAAAATTATTGAATAAAACCTGCAAGCTCCATTCATAGTAAGCGGTTTATAAAGGTGTTCCTTTTTAAAAAATATTTTATACTATAATTGTACTGTACCTTTTCTATGTTTATATACGTTAAATAAATAAATTCCATTGTGTTGGATTGCCTACAGTATTCAGCACAGTAACGTGTCACACAGGTTTCGAGCCTCAGAGCAACAAGTTACACCATATGTAGCCCAGGTGTGTATAAGGCTGTAACATCTAGGTGTGTGTAAGTATACTCTATGTTGTTTGCACAACTACGAAATCACCTAACACCACATTTCTCAAAAAAAATCCCCAACATTAAGTGACTCATGACCATACTACAATTTTAGTGGCATTGCCTTTTATAATGTGTTCTTTGGGGCATTCTTCTCTAAGGATAATGCTGACAGTCCCATTCCATCTGTTTAGTGAGAAAGTTGGAGGTTCTGCTCATGAGTAAAATTGATAGAAGCAGTTATTTTAGAAAAGGATAAATTGGTATTGTGCAAACCTCAGAGCAGCTATATCAATAACATACTGTTACTAAAACCCAATTGATTCCTTGCCTGTTTTAAAACGGAGCTAGTATTCTGAATAAAAATTGATTACCTCAGAAAATTTTACATCAGCTATGACAAAAGAGAAACTATAAATATTATTTAAAACTTGAATTAAAAAATAATAATTTCCTGCATCTTATAATAAAATAAAATGCAACTATTGGGAAAGGCACATAGGCTCACACCTATAACCCCAGCCCTTTGGGAGGCCAAGTGGGGAGGATTGCTTGAGGCCAGGAGTTCAAGACCAGTTCTGGCAATATAGCAAGATGGTATCTCCACAAAAAATTAAATGTAGTGGCATGTGCCTGTAGTCCCAGCTATTTGGGAGGCTGAGGCAGCAGGATCAGGAATCTGACATTACAATGAGCCATGATCATGCCAATATGTTCCAGCCTAGGCAACAGAGCAAGACCCTGTCTCAAAAAAGTAATAAAATGTAAAATAAAATAAAATACAACTAAGCCCTTCTGAAAATGTCAACTGTCATTTAAGTATTTTCTTTGCCTGGCATATATCTACTAGTAAATACAATAAGTAAAATCAGCCTTTGAAGATACATAAGAAATTAAATTTTTTTAAATGCTGGGCTAAGAGTAGTTATAAGCAGCTTGCAAATGAAAAATCAAGGCTGAGT